TTACTCAGTAGTTCTATACAGTACGGACGAAAAGTTATTACTTTTCAAACCAGTTAAAAATATGTAGGTGGCGCCCTCTACAAGTAGGAGTCATATTGACATCAAAATCAAATATCTCATGTCAAAAAACTCAGAGGCCAATTTTCATCCAAATACTGACGTTACTTCAGAAATTATTTGCAAAAAATCGAAATAAAAATGAAACTTCTACACCCTATATATCTCCGAAACTAAGCATTTTAGGACATACATTTATACGAACTTGTTTACTTATTTTTATCTGCAGGATATGCTGCCGAAGTTTCAGGAATACAGTTCGGATCACCCTGTATGTGGAATTCACTCGGTTTCGTGGCGTCTAAAATAAGAAAGAAATATTCCGATGAATATCGGTGTTCTAATTATGGTAATACCATAATAAAATAATAATTCCTCCATAGATAAGGGTAGGTTTGCCTGACCAGCCCTTTTAATAGTCTCGGCAGCGTGCAAAAATTAAAATGATTTTTCTTTAAGGCATATCTAGAACAAACCGTTGCGCGAAAATCTCGCCTGGCTTGCCCCAGGTGGTTGCGTGATCTCTCGGAGCATTATATTTTAATACTGCATTCGCATGGAGGTACATTTAAAGGGCAAACAAAGAACGGCATGGACGGTAATAACTTAATCCTGGTGGTGAAAATTGAAAAAGATTTTTTAAAAAAATTGAGGTTTAAAAAAGATCATTTTTTATTTTGTTTTGCGCCTGCTTTTTTATTTTTTAAGATTGTTTTCTTATTTAATAACTTAGTTATATTCATTATCCTACAAATCAACTGAAGAATTAAGTTATTGTAGCTTGTAGTACTTATTAGAGGTGGGCAAATATTGAACGATTCGTTTATTTGAACGAGTGTTAAAAATGAATCGTGAGATTCGATTCACTGCTTAGAATACGGTTTGTTTTAGTATTCTAGTATTAGTATTTTTATCTAGTACTAGTATTTATGAAAGAAACTCGGATTTTCGTGACTTATACCAAACAATATTTTAATACCCTAATTTATTATTTAATTATAATATTCTTTGCTTGTACATACATTTCAAAATAATTCCTTGCCGTTTAGAGGTCTAATGATTTCACACGAAATTACTTCAAAAGTTTGTCCAACATTTTAATTGATGAATAAATATGAAGCAGTTATTTTTATTAGTATGTTATAGGTAGAATATGCTGCCGAAATTTCCTGAATACAATTTGGACCACCCTGTATAGACCTATTTTCTGACAGTTTCATTATTTTAAGGCCAGCACTCTATCCCAATCGTCTATCGACAGTGACATTTACTGGCTGGGGACCCTGAATGGAGGGAGATTTGATATGGCACACTAGTAATGCGTCCCGTGGGAACCAGTGTTGCTGATTGCTTGACAGCACAGTCTGAGGGCTTAGCAGGAATACTAGGGCATCTGTTATTTTTATATCGTACCTATTATGAAAAAATATATATTGATTAAATTTTGGTTTATGTTTACTCAAAAGTACGGTGATAAATATTTAAGATTTGAAAATTTGAGAAAAAAATGAGATTTTTGTGATATTTTCACCTTCTATTTGCAAATGAAATTCAACTTATTGAATAATAAACAAAATCAAAGCAATTGTATTCTATTGTGCCACATTTTTCACCTTATTTACCTATACTCTTCAAACTTATATTTTTCCTCATAAAATATTTATATGTATGTTTCCTTCTGGCACTATGAAAAAAACTCTCTAACAAAATCAACGGTCTTTTCAAGCTTATACATTCAGATCAGCCTGCACAAATTTTCCTGTATATACTATATAACATCGGATGTCGATATATCCATAGATATACAAGGTGGTGACATTTCGATGCTTAACATTGTCATCTCAGAAACTGCGAGACATACGAATTTGGTTAAATGGGACAAAAGTTGCGTAATTAGAAGTTTGACAAACACCGTTTTCAAAAAAATGAAAATAATACGTTTATTTTAAACGATAATATCTTCAGAACTTTTGTATCTATTACAACGTAAGTTGCTAGTTTTATATTTTTGACCCCGACCAATTAAATGCCGTTTTCAGAAAACTTCTAAGCCTTCTAGATTTCGCACAACAACAGTCAAGTTTTTGTTTTCTTTTGGCCGTCATTTTGAATTTTTATACTAGATTAAGTCTGCCTTGGAAATCCAATTGACACTATGTCAACTATATGTCAGCAAGTTATTTTTTGTTTATTCTTTTAAGTGTAAAATCTGGACGCACAAAAATTGTATATTGTCAAGAATGTCAGCCCAGACATTCAGAGAATATTTTGTTAGGGTCTGGTTTCTCTAATTAAATGAGGATTCTCTTTTGCATAATAATGTGATTTTTTTTCTGTTAAATGTACCAGAATTTGTAAATAATGCAAAATTGTAATCTTCTCTCGTGATCACCAGCATGTAAAAAAAATGTAAATTTGGTACACATTTAAATTTAAAGTTGTGATATTTCTGTTTTTGGAAAATTTTCCCTACATAAGAATGACTTATACAACACTCGCGACTTATTTTACGGTTAGAAGTTTCCGGATTTATTTCAATTTGAGCTAGCACGTCTATTAATGTGCCATCGTAGCCTTTTGAAATATGCCTTCTTGTTTTTTAAAGCTACCAGCAACTGCTAAATTTCTTGAAATCCTTGCGAAAATAGTACGATGAGTCTGTGTCCTTTCAGGATACAATGTTCTATAAATTGCGTACGTCATAACGGAATTTCTATTATTTTTTAAGTAAACACCATACATATCTCGTGTTTCCTCACTTGTAAATCTAAGGTTGACTGATAATACACTTTACACTATCTACTATAAGTGTTTGTGTCAAGAACAAGAAACAAAGAACTGAAAGGCAAATAAATCTAACATCAAAATTGCTATATTGACGTACATCGTACGTCGTATTGTAATAATGATCCTGCCTTAAGTAGTAACTGTCAAAAATGTCCACTGCAAATTACATCACAACTATCCGAAAAGAAATTATTTTGTAAGATTTATGAAAAGTCACCCTGTATACATTTTCCTTCGCTCTTGCTATTCCGCTGCCTCTTTGCAACAAGATTACTGTGGAAAAGCCTGGATGCTGACAACCATTGGAATGTTATTTTGTTTAGTTTGGGGCTGCGAGTATACCGGAATTATTCGGAGGGAGTTGTCTGGATTAGGTTTTGGCAATATTATGGAAAACTTAAGCAGGGAATAGAAGTGACAGTAATATATATGAAAATTTTAAATCGGAATAAGTTTCATTTTGATTTATCAGTCGATATTGGTTATGTCTCATTGCGTGGCGTGCATATACATACACACATGGCCAAAATTATTGCATATAACAATATTTTTATTTTATTTTGGACCTAATATGATTCTTTTTATATTTTTGGACATATTGACTTACTACACGACTAACTAATATAAAATTAAAAATCTAACTGCAACTAGGCTGTTATTATAATTTTATTTCATAATGAGTGAAAATCAACAAGAACAAATTTCATTTTTAACAGAAAATATTTAAAACAATTTTAATTATTTCTCACAACTAATAGTCTGTATTGCCTCCTCGAGCCTCAATGCAAGCTGTGAGACGACGTGGCATGCTCTCAATTAAGTTGTCCAGAAGATGTTGAGGAATGGCTTTCCATGTTTCGCGTCAATTCATTTAAGGTACGGGGGGATCATTCCTTTTGGCAATATGGCGTTTTAGAATGTCCCAAGCATGTTCGATCACATTCATATCTGGAGACATCGGTGGTCACCACAGTTTTCTTATACCCTCTTCCTCACAAAGTTCGCTAACCCCTAAAGTGCGATGGGGAGGAGCATTATTGTCCAAGTAAACAAATTCATCCCCCACTGCCCCTCGAAATGGACGCACAATAGGCTCTAAAACGTCTCTAAGATATGAGGCACCTGTTATTGTGCCATCAATAAAAATAAAAGGAGTTTGAGCTCCGTGCATTATACCTGCCCATACCATAATGCTTCCCCTTTGAAACGGGACACGGGGTTGACCTGCATTCAAGCGTGCTCGTCTTCCAGATACTCTCCAGACTAAAGTTCCTCGAGAGTCTGACACTAGGCCTATTCTTGTTTCATCACTAAACATGGCGAAATTCCAATTAGGTCCATTTGCTCTCATCTCCTCAGCCCATTGTAGTCGCGTAGTTTTGTGCTGTAGATTAAGCTTAGGAACACGTAGAGGCCTCCTTAAATGTAATCCTCTGTCATGGAGTCTTCTTGCTATGGTCTTTCTTGAAACATTTACTCCTTCAAGGCAAGCTAACTCATTTTTAATAGCAGTACTAAAAAGCAGGGGATTTCGTCTTGCAATTAGGGATATTTGACGGTCTTGCACAGCAGTAATAACGCTCTTTCTGCCTCTTCCAGGCCGGTCTGTAACCTCGTTTTTCTTCCTGATTTTTTTTTTAATATTCGCGAAACATCGCTTTGGTTAACTCCTACAATTTCAGCTATTGCAACTTGCCGGTAGCCCTGTTGAGACAGTGTTAGTATTCTGACTCTATTAAACTGTGAAATATTGTTTCTAGGCATTTTAAGACCAAAACAATGGTCAAATTTCTTCTGAAACCCAAGATACCACAAATCGAAATGTGCAAAAATTTGTAATAATATTGGGTCTGAACGATAAACATTGTTTACCATATCCATTTTAACAAAAAATAATTATTACAGATTATAAAAGCTATGTATAAAAAAGATTCTTTAAATTCCTTTCCGTATATTTTTAAACGATATATGAAATAATTTTGAATTCATCTCTTCAAAAAAGTCCTATGGGTATTTCACAACTGCGAGAAAATCTACAAAATAAAATATTTTTTTTTATAAATCTTTTGTTTTATTAATTAAAAATTTGTTAAATTAAATTTATTTCAAGAAAAATGTTTGCCTATCTTTTCTAAAACAGGTTCTGTTTGTTTCAGGAAAGGGGCGATTGTACCCCGCGTACAGCCTCACCGACTCTGAGACAGAGGAGTCCCCTAGACGTTACGGGGGGTCCCACACTTACCAGCATCCGCTCTACCAGCAGCCGGCTGGGCTGAGCGACACGCCCACATCAGAAAACGCCTCAGACGCCACGCTCACCGACTCAGAACTGGCTCTGGCTCGGGACTCCACTCTTCTTGTACATAACGGTAAGCCAACCTCACGATGCACAATCAGTTATATATAATTAATATTTACTCAACCATAACATATTGATAATTCTGTCTATAGCATGATAGTTTCCATATATTTCCGAATTTAGCAGTTTTAAAGTACAATAAATACGAAAGTGATCGTTGAAACAATGCCGTTCTGTGTTTCGGAATTTCAAAAAGCCGGCCGTAACGCGTGGATTGGCTTTGAATTGCGCTTCGAACATTCAATTTCCCGCCAATATACTGCGAAAAGTGCCGAACCCCCATTTAACGAGCAAATTGCAAGCTGGATCTGACACAACACTGTTTAGCTAGCTCTCAACTCAAACAGTATTTCACCTTTGTGGTGAGTTGACACTGTTTGAAAAATCCAAGAAACTAAAGTGTTTTTGAGAATATAACAGTCTTATAGATAAAAAAAATCAGATTTTTTTTATTTTAATTCAAAACAACATTTAAATAGGATTTCCAAATGACCAGGACTTATTTCCAATTAAAGACCTATCCTAAATGGTAAAATCTTTATAACTCTGCCCGATACCGGTTCATAACGAAAATTTGACTCGAAACACCAAGTGCGTGGTATCAAATTACAGTAAAACTTCCCATTTCGGCCACTTCTAAAAAGCGGTCACTTCTGTTAGCGGTCAATTTTCAGTTGTTTGAATTAATCTTAGGGGAATTCCTATATTAAAATATTTCTCAATAACGTTAATTCCGAAAGCGGTCACCGGCCGCTTCAAAGGTACATTTTAGGGAAAAACCCATTAAATTTATTGCCCCAATACCGGCCAAAAACCGAACCCTTCGAACCTTTTTTTTTGTCTAACAAGAGCTGTTTCAGGACACTTTAGGAAAGTCCAAGCAATAAACATTTATAATTTGTTTGAGAAATAGGTACAGAGAGTGACAAATACAATACAAATTCGTCAGTAGTTTGCTGAAATTTTTGGGAGATATAGAATCAGTTTAGTTTCTTACTCTGAAAGAACAGCAACCATGTCTTTGAAACGTAAACGTTTGTCTATTAAAGAGAAATTAAATATTGTCGCGGAAAGTGAAAAATATAACAGCAGTGCTCGAAAGTTGGCGGAAAAGTTTGGTGTTGGAAGAACGCAAGTGAACGACATTTTAAAAAACAAAGTGGAATTAAAAAAAATGTTTGAAGAAGAAGGATGCAATGCAGATAAAAAACGAAAGTTTCCTAAAACAGAAGGATTTGCAATCGATCAACTAGTTTACGAATGGTTTTGTAAGGCAAGGAACAAAAACATACCCATATCGGGAACCTTAATTCGGGAAAAAGCTCTTGAGGTATCTACATCCTTGAAACTTAGTGAATTTAAGGCTTCAACTGGCTGGTTAAATAAGTTTTGCAAGAGACATAATATTAACTTCAAAACAATTTGTGGTGAGTCTGCAGATGTGGATGAAGTGACTGTTGAAGACTGGAAAACAAAATTAACAGCAATCATTAAGGAATACGACACTAAAGACATTTTTAATGCAGACGAAACAGGGCTTTATTATATGGCAATGCCAAACAAAACCTTTGCTTTAAAGAATGATAAATGTGCTGGCAAAAAATCAGCTAAACAACGAGTGACACTGCTTTTCTGTTGCAGCATGCATGGTGAGAAGGAAAATCCGCTAGTTATAGGTAAGAGCAAAAACCCGAGATGTTTTAAAGGAGCGCATGTAGATAAATTGCCGATAGAATGGGTATCCAACAAAAAAGCTTGGATGACGACAGATATAATGACATCTTGGCTCAAAACCTTTGACACCAAAATGAAACGGCAGGGTAGAAAAGTTCTTTTATTTTTGGATAATGCCACGTCTCACCCAAAAATAGAACTTGAAAATGTTCGTATAATTTTTTTTCCTCCAAATACGACATCTCATTGCCAGCCGTTGGACCAAGGAATTATTCAAAATTTTAAATTAAAATATCGTCAATTTTTTATTAAAAGACTTTTGACTTTTACTAATACCGAAGAAACGATGGAAAAGGCTAAAGAGAGCATAAATTTGGCAAGTACTATGGTGTGGATAAGTACAGCATGGAAAAATGTTACATCGAACACTATAAAAAAATGTTTCCAAAAAGCGGGATTTGCAACCGTCAAAGGGGACGATGCATTTGACGAAGAGGACGACATTCCTTTAAGTCAGTTATCTTCAATTTTAAAAAACATGCCAGGAAGTCCAGATCTTAAAGAATATCTGACAGTCGATTCAGATGTCCCTACGGAAAATCCTAGTTTAGAGATGCAGGGAATAATCCAGGAATTTACAAACAACAAGGACAGACAGGACTCCACTCAAGCCGAAGAGGAAGAAGATGAAGGCCAAGACATTCTGTGTTCATCTATAAATAATATGAGTGAAGTATGTGAAAAATTAAGAGACATTCAGAATTTTTTGGTGATTCAAAACAAAGACGAACTAGCGGTTGATATTGCCCATACTTTGATGAAATTTGAAAGTGAAATTACAAAAATCAAAATTAAAAATTTAAAGCAGACTACCATTAATCAGTTTTTCACCATATAAATAAGGTTATCATTTTGTAACTTTTAAAGTCAATTGTACATATGTATATAAGAATACCTATGTGTAAAATACATATGTATACATTGTAAGTTTTTTTTTTTCAAAAATTCTTATGTAATAAAGTTTTTTGTAACAACTGAATTATTTTTTTGTGCCAAAAATCTAAAACTGAAGATCATTTATTAACACTTATTGTGTGTTTGTACTACATGCTCGTACTTAATTTTAATTACTTTGCACGTTTCCAAAATAAAGGCATTTTACATTGGTATCTGTATTTTATTGTTCCCAATAGTGGCCACTTCCCTTAACGGTCACATTCCTTTGAAAATTTTTGTGGCCGCTATATAGAAGTTTTACTGTATTTGTAAAAAATGCTTTTTGCAAATATGCTAATGAGCCACCCTCGTTCCATTTGAAAAAATTGAGATATGATTTAAAATACGATTTGAGCATTTTCTAACTGGCCAGGACAAGATACTAAAAACATTAGACGATCCAATCTATTTTTCCAATGCTACTTGATTAAGAATTAGTGTTTTTAATATAGCCATGGCACTCTAGATTGAAATTTGAAATACGATTTTTAGTTTAGCAAAAATGTCAAAAGTTGACATATGATATGTCATTCTATTCAGAATGTTATTTTCCATCGGATAAAGTAAAAAAATACCGATAGTGCCATTTAAAAATAAAAAGTTGTAGTCATTTCCGGTGAAACAGGAAGTGACCAAAAACAAGTGAATACGTCAATCAATCCTAATTTATGTCATATACTAACATACCAAATATCGTTTTTTATCTGAAAAAATAAAAAAGTTATAGGGGGTGAACCACTTTTGAGACGCACCCGGTATACGTACTATATTAGTCTGTGGAGCTAACATGATTAGAATTTCTACGCATCTTCATGTTCATTCTTAATACCTCTACCCTAGGGTTTCCAGAGTCATTATAGTAGATATACTACTTTATACATTTTTTTCTCATTTCTCATTAGACTCATATTACCGGACTTAGAACTACGTTAGGTTTTCACTAGCATTATCCTTTTGATTACACTCTCTTCAACATAAAAAAAAACTGAAAATCTAATCAGGCTGGTTGCCTAAGCCCGAGTGCGCTTACAAAGACCGAATCATCTTTTGGAAACGGTTCCGATTATTACGACGAAAAAGAAATCTTCTATGCCGGCTCTATCTATCTCAGGATAAAGCGGCCATGGCTTGATTGAGCAAAAGACCGTTGAGCGAATTCGATAGAAAACGATTCGTTTGAAGTCGAGATAAAAAACGAGGTTAGGGAAGGGCAGATGAAGCTCTCTAAAAGAACTTGAATAATGGAAACAATTAGTTTATTGGAGACCTAATTTTAAATATTTTGGATGGTCGAAATTATTCGGTATTGTATCGAAATTTCTGTTTGGTTCGTTATTAGGGTAGACTGGGTATAAGGTATAATGGGAAACAAAGAACAGTTGAAACAAAACAATTATCTCGCAAGGAAAAATATTTGCAAAAAAAAAGTTATTGTTACTTTGCATCACATATACATACGTATAAGTTATGTTTTTTTATAAGTAAGTTTAACTTTTCTTTGAAAACTAGTATGTAATTCAATAAATAGATTGAATTAACTACCAGGTGCGTCTCAAAAGTAGCTCGTCCCTATAACTTTTTTTTAGTACTCGAATTTCAAGAGATTGCAATATATATGCTCGAATATAAAAATACGGTTTTTCGTCCGTCGCCCCACGGTGATATATTTGCTCATTTTAGCTGGCCAAAAGGTTATTTTTAAAAATTAATTTTAATGACCAACAAAAAATGTTATCTTGAAGCCCAGGAGATAAGGCATCTAAAAATAACTTGCTTTTTGCCATACAAACAGGTATTCTTATTTAGAACTAGTTCCAATTTGTCTGTCTCACAAGCAGAGTGTTTTCGGCTTAAAAATTGCTTTAGTTTAAATTAATAAATTTTATTTTTTATATATTTGTTTCCAAAAGTGAATATGGATTGTGACGAAGCAGGTAAATATAGGACTATTTCATATTTTAATCAAATGAACCTCGTTGGTTTTCAAAGCTACGCCTAGTGAAAGGTATTAACTTTTTGTATGTCTTTTTTAAACGCCTAAAGTTGTTATGTGGTTCCTTGCATTTCCCGACAAAAACTTTGATCATTTGAAAAAGCCTTTGCTCTTCTACAAAACTTGATATTAAGTAGCCGCCAAATGCCGCCACTTTTGAAAAAATCTAGTTTTTAAAAAACTAGCGCAGTTTATTATTTTTGTGACGTACATCTAATTCGGTATTTTTGCATTTAAGGACCTGCTGGAGATAAGATCTTCACCCGAAATCAACTTTTTAATCTGATGAGTCAACAAAATTTGAAAGTATTTGACGAAAAATTGGCATTTTGTAAAATTATCTTCTT